AGCCCGGCGCTCAGCTGTGCCCAAGTCTCTCCCTGGTGGGGCCCTGCAGGGAGCTCCTGGTGACTTACTTTCACTTCTTCTGTGACCTGGAAATCCTCGTGGACCACGTTCTCCACCTCTACCATGAGCACCTCGCCGGGGCCCTCCGAGGCCGGCTCCTGCCCCACCTCCCGCGGGGGCTGGGGGCCCAGCTCCTCCTCCGACTCCTTCTTCCCCCGCTTGGCCTTCCGGCGGGGCTTTTGTCTGCTCTCTGGCTCGGCCTCCTCGGGCTCCACCTCCAGCTGTCTGCTGATATGGATCCTGGTGGGGGAGCAGGGCCCAGTGAAGGCCAGGGCTGGGGACCCCAGGTTCTGATCACTGCCACGTGGAGGTGGCTCCCGCTGGCAGCCCACGCCAGGCCCCCTGGTGGCCGCCCAGGCACCTTCTATATCCCGTGACGATCATGCGCAGCTTGTCCCCGAGGTCCTGCAGCTCATGGATCTGGGCGAAGGTGCCCGTGTGGTAGATTTCATCCAGGCTCTCCACCACGTCGGACTCATTGCTGAGGGGCAGAACACGGAGATGTGTTCGGTGTAGCCGCGCTGGGCACATCGGGACGGCCCGGGTGGAGGGTGAGGAAGAACGACCCTGACAGCCACCACTGAGCCCACGGGCAGCCTCCAGGGCTCTCGGCCCGTCACCAGGGCACAGTGTACACAACAGCCAGCTCCCTGCTAAGTCGGCCATGAGAAAGGCACCCAGGTGGGACTGGGTTTCTTGCACTCCTTGTGACAGTGCCTGCTTCGACACAGTCACTTTGTAATCTGGAAGTGGGACGAGCAGCCATCTGGAGTCGGGGTGGACAGCCCTGCAGCCCGCTGTTCACCTCGCCAGCTCTACTCGGAAGCAGCACAGGGGCACCCGAATTCTACTACCGTGGGGTCACCTGCCCCACCTGGACAGTGCATGGGGTTTCTCCTTTGTGGTCGGGGGACAGGACGGGCAAGGCAAGTGCTCGCCGCAGAGCAGTCACTCCAACGCGTGGAGTTTAACACAGGAACTCGGTTGGGAAAGGAGTCCCACAGCCCGAAGTCGGTGGCAGGCAACCGGGCGACGCTTCTGGATTCCCAATAGCTCTATCAATGCCCGAGCTCCGCCTCCTCCCAGGTCATCGAGGTATTAGACCCTTACAGGAGCAAACCCCACTGTGAACTGCGCGTGTGCAGGATGCAGGATGCAGGCCACGGCTCCTTAGGGAATCCAGGGTCTGGTGACCCCAAGTGGGGCTGAACTACCGAAATATTACACCTCACAAATGCATACTAATAAAAGGAACTAAACCATCTCCTGCCACATGTGTGGCGATCAGTCCTGTTGCTTAAGGGGCTGGGGACCACTGATGTAACACACGGAGCAATAACCCCCATCCTCAGAGTAAGGGGGCTGCCCGGCTGGAGGTCTTTCCTGTCCATCACAGCAAAAAGCTCCCAACTACTCTGTAGTCCAGCACTCTGGTGAGAAGGGTGGCTTCGGTGGACGGAGGGAGGAAAAGTGACACTTACTTGTCATCTCTCTTTAGAAAGACGCCGACATACGGCTGGGCAAGTCGAACCTTCCTTCTGAGCAGCTCCACCAACTTCTTATTTTTAACCTAGCATGACAATGACCCCAAAGTGAAACGCAGGGTCCAGGGTCCAGCTGGGAATCGAGGGTGGCTCTAGAGTTTTCCAGACCATTGTCTGGGGACAGTCTGACCTGGGACACTAGTCAACATGATCTGGGGAACACTGAGCTGGAAGGCAGGATTATCTACTTAGGTTCCTCTCTCCGTCCTAAAGAAAGCTCAAAGTAGACAAATAGCCAGAAACAAGCACCTGGTATCCCTCCTACAGCTGGAGCATAATGACTTAAGTCTGGTGTTGCCGTGGTACTGGGCGCTGAACCTAGGGCCTCTGCACTGAGCTGTCTCCCTGTCCTTTTTAATGTTTGAGACAGGTTTCTAAGTCACACGAGCTGGGCTGGAACTTGCAATCCTCCTTCCTAGCCTCCCAGGGGCCTGGGATGACAGGTGTCTACCAGCTTAGAATGTTTTAGTTTGAAAACCCAAACCGTTCTGTTTTCATTAACCTAAGGACACCACTAACTGTGTAACTCCACAGAGCCCACCTCCCACACGGGTAACTGCTGCTAATCTTCAGACGAAACTATGTCCTAACCACACTTGGGTGCTATTCATTGATGTCCAAAACCTGTAGGATAGCCACGTGTGTGGTGCCCACCTGTCATCCCAGCACTCGGGAGGCTGAGGCAGGAGGATTGCAGTGAGTTTGAGGCCATCCTGAGCTACAAAGTGCGTTAAGGCCAGCCTGAACTGCGTGGTGAGACCTTGTCTCAAACAGACAAAACACAGAACAAAACCACCCTGGTCTAACAGAACATTCTCGATGTTACTTGAGGCAGGCTCAGGGCTGGTGCTGTCTTCCAGGCCACGTGACACTCTTAAGGTCAGCTGACCTTTTTCAAGTGTCTGTTCCTTCCCAGGCCAGCCTTACCTTCTTTTTGGAGATACTGGGGGCTGGATGCAGGAGTAGTCTACCACTGAGCTCCGGCCCCAGCCCTTCTGAAGACGGGGTCTTCCCAAGTTGCCCAATGCTGGACTTGAACTTGCAATCTTTCTGCCTCAGCCTCCCAAGTGGCTGAAATATGAGGTGGGCACCACCATGCCCACCTCCCTGGGCCAATCTTCACCGACAGCCCTTAAACTCTGATGGGAACAGGAATCACCAGCAGAACTGGTTAAAACTGTGGGCCCCACCTGTGAGGTTCCTGATTAAGGAGACCTCAGGTGCCGAGAACAAGCATTTCAAACAAATCCACAGTTGGTGCTGAGGAAGGGACTGCACAGTTGGCGTTTAAGCCGCTCCACCACGGGGGCTCTCCACTTACATCTGGGAGCTCCTGACACTAAGGATGTACTGCACTTACGCCGGGAAGAAAGCCCAGCACATCCAACTGAAGGATCCACTACCCACTACCATGAAATGTTCAGTAAAGCCACTGCTCCCTACTCCAGAGTCACAGTAAGGTCAGCCCACTACTAAATCAATAAAGAGAGCTCTGCTAACAGGTTCAGAAACATTTATTGGCTCCAGAGGTGTCCCATTTCCCCACAGCCAAGAACTAAAAAGGGTGTCCTAAGCACCTGTCTCCCCGCCCTACATACAGTGCGTTCTTTTCTATCACAAAGCAAGAAAAACAGCAAAGCCCATGGGCTGGCCTCTAAGCACTACCAGCATCACTCACCGCACCTTCCTGGCTAGCCTAAAAAGACAGGCCCTCTAAAAAGCCACCTCGGTGCAAGGGCCAGTGTTAGGGGCACCCATCTCTTTCCAGGGCTGAGGACCAGACCTGAACCGCCCCAGCCCCGGATGCCTTGGCTGGGAGGTTTAATAGGATTGCCAGAGAGAAGCAGATCAGGAAATGAAGGCGGACCAGTCTGGCTCCAGTGTCAAGCACAGCAGCACCAGGGGCAGGCCCTGGGCACCTCGGTGAGCACACTGCAGTGTGGGAGAAGGGGCAGAGGGGGCTGCTGGCCCTGCACACTCCTGGCTGCTGCCTCTCCAACGTGTCCTTTCCCTGGCCTTGGGGATTTATTTAGCAGAGGGTGGAGAGAAAGAGCCAGAGGGTGAACACAGAGGCTGACGCACTGTGTGACCTTGTTTGCACAGTTCCCTGTTCACTTTCCTGTTTTACAATCTTTAGTTTCCACAGGAGATTAAAAAAAAAATTCTTTTTGTTTTTCAAACACAGAAACAAGGTGGAGGAGAAGACGACTTTCCTCTGAAAGTTCACACTTCTTGCACTCACAGATTTCTCCCTGTTACATCACCCTGTCTCTTCCCCTCCCCCTCACAGCTCTTACTCTGCCAGGATCTTATTGGTTCAGTTTCTTCCACCAAGCCAACAAGCTTCCCAGGCCCAGGGCTGTGTCTGACTTGTTTAGCACTGTATTTTCCACGCCTGTTGCACGGTACAAGCTCACAAACACTGTACTGAAGGAAAGATCACGTCCTCCTCTTCCCACCTGTTTCCAGTCTCCAACACCGTTCCCTGCTAGCTGATTTCTGGCAGTGAGATCCAAGGGTAAGATGTTATCTCTGGCATCTAGGTCTCTGACACACGTCTAGCAGTCAAAGACATGCTTGTTTAAGGAAGGAAGGACTCCACGTCCCAACAGGCTCTCAAACTGTCTTCCGAGGGAGTGTTGCAAGACGTTTACAGAGACCAGCAGCAAACTAAGCGGATGCCAACACTGACTCTGAGCCCGCCGACTTCTACCACCAGGACTCTCAAGAGGACAATCCTAAGTGCATCGGGCTCAACTCGTCGCACCTGATTCTAAGGGTCTGAAGTGGGGAGGAGGAATTTGGCTCCAGCGCGCCAAGCCAGTGCTAAACAGACAAGGATTCGAACTCGAGACACTGCGAGAGTTCGTCTCTGATAAAGTCGTGAGGCACGAAGGCGCTAGCCTGGTGCTGGCAGAGGTGGGGAAACTGAGGCCGAGGCGGGGGTACTCATTACCTCGACAATCTTGATAAAGCGCGGGAACACAGGATTGCGGCTGATGGCGATAAGCGGCAAGTGCGGGAACACGTCCGGGATCGTCATGGGCGTGAGCGCCGTAATGACCGGGCCTTCCCCGCCACCTGTGCCGCCCCCTACGCCCCCGGACCCCTCCTCCGAGCCGCCCTCGGAGGCGTCGTCGCCTCCAGAGAACGCCCCACCGCCGCGGGTGTTCGCCTCCCATATCCCTCGCCACTGGCCTGCGGTGGCCGGTCCGCGGCCCCAAAGCCCCCAAGGAGGTGTGGCGTCGCAGGCCGGCCGGCCTCTCGGTATCCACGGTCCAGCCGCAGTCGGGAGCCGCCCCCCGGCGGCAGCCAAGAGCGGCCGCCGCAGCGCCCAACACCGCGCCGCGGCCCAAAGACGCACGTAACCTGCGCTCGCCGCCATGGCCCGGCCATACTGGCGGCGCACGGCATTGATGTCACTTCCGGCCTCGCGCTGGGCGCACGTGACGCCAGGCACGTACCGCGGCCCGAGGGGGTGTGGCTGGCGGCCCGGACATCGCATTCTTGTCCCCTTCGGGTCACGTGGAGCGCTGTGGGCATGACCAGCCCCACTGGAGGAGTACTGCTACAAACTCAACCTTTGGAAACTTGTGGGCAACCTTTGCCCACATTTAGGTTCGCGGGTGGAAGGAACACACACTCAGGACATGTAGGAGGGTTCGGGCTTCCCGGCAGACAGCACGCGCATGCTCACACTACACGGTGCACGGGTGGCCGTGTGCGCATGCCCCGGCTCCGGCCCAACCTTGGGGCGGGCACGTTTTGGCTTCTAGGGATACAACTGCGCATGCCCGAAGTTCATTAGGCACCGAGTGTGAGTGCTGGGATTTAGGACTACTCAGTGCGCAAGCCCAAAGTCTGCACCGCGCATGCCCAGCTCGTGCCGTGATGCTGCGGCGGTTGTTTGTGTGTGGATTCTGGAGAACCCGAGATAGATGCGGATGTTTATATTGATAGCGGTGGCGGTGGACGTGTGGCTGTGGCCGCTGGTTGGAGCTCAGCCACTGTGCCGGTGGGACAGCTCTCCCTGCCTGAAAGGGGCCTGGCTCAGTCCCGGGCTGAAGCCGTGGAGGCTTCGCTTTCCTTATTCTTCGTGGGCATCGGGTCCCTGCTTCCCTGGCGCCCGTTCCTCCGTGGAGGCACACTTCCACTTGGGGACCTGGGCCTGGCGCCTGCCCTTCGTGCTCCACCCTAGGCTTTGCCCTGCTGTCCACCGACAGGTCCCTAAATGATCCGATCTCGTCCTTGTCCTCCCCGGCTCTCCGAGGGAAGCCAGCCTGCAAATCCGGGTTCCTCCCGTAGCCCGCAGCCCCTCTCTGCCCACATCTGGGGTCGGGTTAGCTTCTACCAGGAGCTGTGCTGTGCATTTAGATCCCAGACTTGGTGACCACTCGAAAAGGACTCTGGGTGTTGCCAGGAGGCACCTGGATCTGAGAACCCTGGTCTGACCCCTCGGTCTCGGGACTGCAAGCTTGTCTCACCCTGTGGTACCTGGTTATCTTTTAAAATAATGCCAGTACTGGCAATTGAGCCCAGAGCCTTCACACCGAACTATATAGTCAGCTCTTTTTATTTTTTTTTTTTTTACACTTTTTTTTTTCTTTTTTGTTTTTATCGGTACCAGGGATCGAACTCACGACCGCCTGCTTGCAAGGCAGGTGCTTATTCCACTGAGCTAAATCCCCAGCCCCGCTCTTTTTATTTTTTATTTTGAGACAAGATCTTGCTAAAATTGCCCAGGGTTGGGCCGGGTGTGGTGACGCCTGCCTGCCCTCCCAGCACTCAGGAGGCTGAGGGAGGAGGATTGTGGCGAGTTCCAAGACCAGCCTGGGCTACAAAGTGAGCTCAAGGGGCTGGGGATTTAGTTCAGGCATTAAGTGCCTGCCTGGGAAGCACGAGGTTGTGAGTTCAATACCCGGTACCCAAAAAACAAAAGTGTCAAAGAGAGCTCAAGACCAACCTGAACTGCAAGCGAGACCCTGTCTCGAAATAAAGAAAATAAAAAATCGAATAAAATTGTCCAGGGTGGACTCTAGTTAGTGAGTCTCCTGCCTCAGCCTCCCAGAGTAACCCAGAGTAACCCAGAGTGCTGGGGTGGGGACAGGTGTGCCCTACCACACCCCTTACCATATGTTCTGTTCCCTTGGCTGCTTTTCCCTATCACTAATTGATGAATTTTTAAAACGTTACTTAGTTTTTGACAGACTTTCTTGTGTCCTGCGGCCACTGGGATATCGTTCTGTAAGCATGTAGACTGTTTTATTAGTCGCTTTTGTCCTGGGGGTGGAACCCAGGGCTTCCCACAAACTAGAAAAGCATGTTACCGCTGAGCTACACTCCAACCCTAAAATGCACTCAATTAACTCCTCAGCCGGTTGGTATTTTAGATGTCAGTAAGTGTTAGGTTAGTGGGTCCTTGTACCGAGTACCACGAGGGCCCAGTAAGTGGCCAAGCCAGTTCCAGCGTTCAGAAAATAACCGTGAACCGTTCCACTCAGCAGGGACCTGATGGCTGCAGTTTAGCGGTGATGTGCATCAGGTGGGTGTGGCGTTAATTCGTTCTCACCCGTGTTTAGAGAAGCCTTGATCTTATTTTACAGGTGTGAAAGCAGAGCCAGGGAACTCCCAGCCACACTCACCGGAGGACACATAGCTGATGAGTAGAGAGGTTTTCCTGTAGGGTTTTGCTCAAGGTCTGAACCGATCGTTTGTACTCAAGTCTTCCACTTCCCCGCTCCAGTTCCCGCAGCAGGGTGCTTTGAGAATTCTTCCTTGGCTTTATGGCGCACACCTGTAATCCCAGCACTCAGAAGGCTGAGGCAGGAGGATTGCTGAGAGTCCAAAGCCAGCCTGAGCTACATAGAGGGACCCTGTCTCAGAAAACAAAACCAAACATGACGGGTACTTTATAGTTTGATAGCTTGACGCGACAGTCTGGTAGGAAGGAAGTGTCACACTAAAATATTCCTTGAGAAGTGACAAATTGTTTCTCCTCACTTCCCTCCAGTGTTCGCCAAGTCAGAACAGGAAAGGTGTTTAACAGTGGACAGCCAATTGATGGGGTAGGTGGCTCCTTCCGTATAGTTTTCCCTGATTTATCTAATGCTCAATCAGAACATTTCCTAGAATTTCCTGGGGTTTGCTTGGGGGGCAGGGGTAGTTGTTTCGTTTTGCTCTTTGATTTTTTTTTAACAGGGTCTCACTGTGCACTTCAGGCTGGCCTTGAACTCACAGCAATCTGCCTGTCTCTGCCTCTTTTTTTTGTACCGGGGATCAAACAACCTCATGTTCACCAGGCAGGTGCTTATGCAGCTGAGCTAAGTCCCTGGGTTTTAGCTCTGAAATGCTGGGATTACAGGCGTGCATTACCACACCACATTTCCTAGTATTTCTTGGCTGCCAGTAATGTGTCAGGAATTTAAGAACATTGCTTACTCCAATCCTCACCAGTAACTGACCTTTAAAGATTAGTCATTCCCAACAAATTGAGAAATATTGTGTGTCTGCAACGCGGCACTTTGTGGGGTTTAGACAGGAGGAGAGCACATTGTAGCCCAGGCTAGACAACCTAGCGAGGCCTTGTCGCAAAACTGAAAATTATAAAAAGGTTCTGGAAGCCAGGTGTGGTGGCGCCCTCCTGTCATCCCAGCACTCGGGAGGCTGAGGCAGGAGGATCGCCCATCATGAGTTTGAGACCAGCCTGGACTACACAGTGAACTCAAGGCCAGCCTGAGCTGCATGGTGGGACCCTGTCTCAGAAAGACAAAAAAGCGGGAGGTGCTGGACTAGCTCACTATGAAGTCCCCGGGTTCAATCCCTGATACCACACACACACACACAAATCGAGAATGATACAGATGCCCAAAGAAAGCCAAAGGCAGACCTGGTTTAGAGCTCAGAACATCAAAAGAGTTTTTTCAGTGTTCAGGCTGCAATTATATTTGAAGAGACTTTTCCCCCTGGCACTAGAGCTTGAACCAGGGCATCACACATGCCACATGCATGCTCTGTCACTGACAACACCCAGGACGTTTTACTTTTTGCTGTGAGACAGGGTTTTACTCTGCTGCCTGGCTGGCCTCCTTCCGTAACCTCCCCGGTGCTGGGATCACAGGTAAGGCCCCCACCCGAGCTGCTGAAGATGTTTCTTTCATACACGATCCCCGTCTGTAGTTCAGGCTGGCCTCCAACTCACTGCGTAACCCAGGCTGCCCTGACACGTGTGGTGATCCTCCTGCCTCAGCCTCCCGAGTGCTGGGATGACAGGTGTGCACCACCACGCCCGGCTGGTGGAGATTTTTAAGTGCTGAGTCGCATGGGAAGCAGAGTCTATGGCTTTATTTACATGACACAGTTCCACAGTTGATGTTATGTTGGCCAATATGAACTTGGGCGCAGTGAAAAATCCCCATCTGTTCAAGGGTGTCTCCTGTTGATACCCCACAATTTCAGAAGTAGTGTCCGCGTTTATAAATGATTGAGTCTCTAGTTTCTAACGTGTTAGTGCTGAGGCTCTTCATCCTCTGGCCTCTCTTCCAAGTAACTAATCCTCTGGGGGGAGTTTTGTTGTGTGGTGGTTGTTTTGAGACAGGGTTTTGCCATGTGACCTGGGCTGGCCTTGAACCCTTGAGCTCAAGCAATTCTCCTGCCTCAGCATCCTAGCAGCTGGGACAACAGGCGACAGTCTCTATATCCAGCTAGCAATCATCTAAAAATAAAGAGTAACAGATATCGGGATAAAATGTACCGTGAGTTGGGGTGGTGGCCCATGCCTGTGATCCTAGCCCTTGGGAGGCAGAGGCAGGAGGATCTCCATGAGTCTGAACCCAGCCTGGGCAACATGATGAGTTCTGGCCAAGCTGGACTACCACCCAGTGAGACCCATGTCTCAAAAAAATTAAAAAACATGTGATATGAATCATTACCTGGCGGTTTTGAATAATATAGCAAGACTCTGTCTCAAAACAAAAACAGAAAAGAACCAGAAGAAACCATCTATGTAATTCAGAATTCACCCTTTACACCTGTAATGTCATGCATTAGGAAATCGCTTTTATTAGTTGTTTCTTGCTAATGATTGTATTAAAATTTTTCCAATTCTCTCTCTAGGATGCCTTATATTTTCCATCTGTGACAACACGCCTGATTAAACATCCGTGTAAGAAAACCACGGCGCTATATCTAGGGTAAATGGCCATTGTATGTACTGTTCCCTTCCGTGTCTCTGGAAATTTAGATTTTTCACTCATTTAGTCGCTCAGCAAACATTACCACAGATACTGCATTGCTAGATGCAGGGACTAGGGGTAGGGCGACAGGAAGTAAAGTGACTAAGAAAGGTAGAGCTCGGTTCCCGCAGTCCCACACCCAGGCTACCGCTGTTCCCTTGGCATTATTCCCTAGACAATGCAGCCTACAGTACAGTATTTCCACCGCGTTTCCATCATGTCTGGGCCGGGACTGAGCTCCCTGCAGGTGATGGAGATGACACGAGATGACCCAAGTTGGCCACGTGCAAACACCACAGCATTTTAGAAAAGGGACTTGAGGGTCGGGGATTTAGCTCAGCAGCATAAGCGCCTGCCTTGCAAACAAGCAGTTGCGAGTTCCATCCCCGGTACCGACAAAAAAAAAAAAAAAAAAAAAAAAAAAGAAAAGGGACTTGATGGCAGCCACAGTGTGCAGCCGATAATCCCAGCATGTGGGGAGGCTGAGGCAGGAGGATCACTCGAAGGTTCAAAGCCAGCCCGGGCAGTTAGTGAGACCCAGTGTCAAGCCACAAGTCAATGAAAGGGACTTGGAAATTGGCAGATTTGGGCATCCCCGGAGAGGGGGTCCTGGAACCAATTCTGTATAGATACCAAGGGACAATTGTAGAGTGGGGTGCAGTCTGCTGGAGACGCTTGATATAAGTACAGGGCAGAAAATGTCTAGTCCGTTTCCAAGGAGGAGTTGATATCAAGGTTTTGAGGGATGAATAGGAGTCCTCCAGGACAGAGAAATGGCAAAATGTCTGTGGTCTTGGAGAAGGAGCAGCTGAAGGAGCAGGAGGGTCATGCACTACGCTTAGTGACTCAGGTATCGAGTAGAGCACTAGATGTTTGGCCTCATCTGGAGGGCAACGGGGGATCTGGGGCTGTGAGGTCTGCCCGAGTGCAGAAGGTGCTAGCAGCACACAGAGGCAGATGGGAAGTTGCTCCGGATGAAACAAAACAAAACAGAGCATGATGAAGGCAAACGGAAGCACCGCACAAAGCGGGGCTGGGGCGGAGAGTTCAAGGCCAGCCCGCCTGCGCAGGGAGACTCTGCCTCAGAACAGGGAAGCCAAACCAAGCCAGCCACACTGCACTCTGAACTCACGGAGCACGGTTACCGTGAGTCAGTTGAAATTTTAAAAATGCATTTTAAAAAAATCATCAAGGAAAGGCTGGGGATTTAGCTCAGCAGCATAAGCGCCGGCCTTGTAGGCACAAGGTCATGAGTTCGATCCCGAGTACCAAAAAAAAATCATCAAGGTTTATCCGTCAGCAATGACCAATTATAAAAGGGAATTTTGCCAGGCATAGTGGCTCCCGCCTGTCATCCCAGCACTCGGGAGGCTGCGGCAGGAGGATTGCTACAAATTCAAAGCCAGCCTGGACTACACAGTGAGCCCAAGGCCAGCCTGAATGGCATAGCAAGACCCTGTCTCAGAAAGACAAAAACATTTAAAACCAGAGTGACTTCAAATATCCAGGCTGCAGAGATTTGTTTATACAAAATGAACAAATACATAATGCTAGCTAAATGATCCTGGCCAAAGAGAGATTTACGCAGTGGGACATTTCCTGAGGCCTGACATTTTCTCTCCATCCTTGTGTGAACTCCTCCTAACGTGCGGCTCTTGCGTGTTGCAGACAGCAGGTTTTCTTCACCAACGATAACTTCGAGAACAGCCTGCCCCCGCTCACCATCCCTGCGTCGATGATGGTAAGGATTTCAGGGACACGGCCAGGCGGCTCCACACAAGTGGCGGGAGCAGCGTGTCTGGGGACCATCCGAACAGCCTGCCTTTGCCGGTTCGGGTTATCTGGCAACTTAGGAGACGCTGAGAAGCAATCTCTTGACTGTTGCTTATTAGGAGCAGAATAATCACACTCATCTCGGGGAGCGCGCACACAGGTGTGCGGCATAGCTTCTGCTTCCCCCCTCCCCCTCCCATTCCCCATCCCCACCCCCCACCCCTCACCCCTTCCCAGGTCCCCAAAGTCCCGTCATCAGCCTTTTATCTGGCCCTTTAGACCATCTACCTATTGGGTTTCTTATAGCAGAGAAGCCATGTGGAATTAACTTTCGGTGTCTGATCTGGTTCACTCCGCATTATAGTCTCTTCCTATGGATGAGGCCACTGCCCTTATTTAGGGCTGAGTAGTACTCCACGGTGTATAAATACCGTGCATCAGGTATCCGTGCCTCTCTGTGTGGGCATGTAACCTTTCCCAAGATTCAGTTATAAGAAGCCATTTCTACACCAAAGGAAGGGCTGGTTTTATTCTGTCCCTATCACAAAACGGGTACTTTTGGTAATAAAAGATATCAGAATGGCTGCCAAGGGCCCGCCCTTACTTGGGCTAAGCAGCACGGTGATAAATCAGATGCGTCCGACTTGGCCTACAGTCATTTCAAGCCCTTCCTAAAGTGTCTTGAAGCAAAGAGAGAACACAGCCTTCCAGGCACTGTCTCTTGTTTTGTTTTGTTTTTTGGTACCGGGATTCGAACTCAGGCCTTGGCGCTTGCCAGGCGGGCTCTGTGCCACTGAATAAACCCTAACCCGCGGTGACCCCCAGGTCAGCCCTCCATCATGCTCCATAAATACACCCCGAAAGGCGCCGCCTCTCCGCTCCCCAGCGCGTCGTCATCTAAACTCTGGGGCTGAGCTCTCAGCCGGCTCTGGGTAAGGCGGCGAAACTGGGGGTGCATGCGGGGCTCACCAGCCGCACCTCCCGATTTTGCTGCCAGCTGACATGGGGATATGCTGCTGTCTGAAAACCAACCTGGCCGGGGAGGACGCTCAAGCATTGTCCTGAGTGTGATTGCTGACACCAAAAAAACCCCAAACCAACCCCCTTGCGGGCCGGAGGTTTCTGCTGCGCAGGCAGCGAGGGGGCGCCGCGAAGCTTGTCAAACGTCTTGTCGTCCGCAGGTCGGCCGGCCAGAGGTGACCTCTGCACATTTCACTGGCTCGCAGCTGCTGCTGGTGGTGAACCAGAAGGTGTACACGTACGACTACACGGCTGGCGTCTGGAACGCATCCCAGGGTAGGGCGCGGTGGGATCCCACACAGGGACCGCTTAACGTTGTAAAATTTTATGTATTTCTTTTGTCGTCTTGAGGCAGGGTCTTGCTGTGCAGTTCACGATGGCCCTGAGCGCACTGTGCAGCCCAGGCTGGCCTCGGATGTTCAGTGATCCTCCTGCCTCAGCCTCCCGAGTGCTGGGATTACTGCACCACCCCTGCTGGCTACTACAAATTGTTAAAATTTAAATAATTACCAGGTGGGGTGGCGGGATGAATCCGAAGGGAAGTCACGGCATAAAAGATTTTTCTTTGCGCATCCATTTTATGAAATAAAATTTTAAAATGTAAACATTCAGTGTATATTTTGATCAGCTCTTGTCTAGCTCGTGTTGTTTGACTTTGACGTTAGCCAGTATCCAAGACGACGTTATTGATTTTGGAAGTGTAACGGAGGTTTTGGAGCCTGGATATCACGTTGTCCTTTAAAATACAAATGAAAATTGTCCCAAACCCAATCAAATACAGGAAACCCCTAGGGGTTTTGGTCTGGGGTACAGAAGGCTGCTCGGAGCTGGGTGTAGTGGTGAACTGTAACCCCAGCACTCAGGAGGCTGAGGCAGGAGAATCACCAGAAGTTCAAGGCCAGCCTGGGCTACATGGTGAGACTCGGTCTCAAACAAACAAAGCCCTGCTTGCACAAATTGAATCAGAGGAGAGCTGTCAGCAGGGGATGGCTCAGGTGTGTGCGGACGCCTGCAAGGCCGAGTGACAGCTGGCAGCCACACCGGCTGACCGGGACAGGGAGTCCCACTGCCTCCCTTTGGGGACAGGGAACAGGAGAGAAGGGGGACTTTAAGAAGTGGGGACAGCAAAACACAGTGGCCTGTGCCTCTGGGAGGCTGAGGCAGGAGGATCCCAAGTTCCAGCACAGCCTGGGCAAACTGAGGACCTGCTGAGACCCGCTTTCCAAGAATAAAAAGGGCTCGGGGTGTAGCTCAGTGCAAAGGCCCCAGGTTCAATGCCCAGTATACACAAAGGAAAAAGACAGGAAGGAGGAGGGGGAGGGGAGGGGAGGGGAGGAGGGGAGCAGAGGGGAGGAGGGGAGCAGAGGGGAGGAGGGGGAGGGGCCGGGGGAGAAGGGGAGGGGAGGGAGGGGGAGGGGAGGAGGGAGGAGGGGGATGGGAGGAGGGGAGAGGAGGGGGAGGGGGGAGGGGAGGGGGAGGAGGGGCTCCTTTACCCCAGCAGGGAGGTTGGGAGCCAGAGCACAGAGCTCCTCCCCGTGAGGCGGTGTCACTGCTGTGGACACGGATACCCACCGACGTCCTTGAGCCCCCACTTGGGCTCCGCGCGGCCCACAGCTGCCCGAGGGACTGCCGCCAGGTCCTGCGGGAATTCTGTGCGCAATCTCTCCAGCAAGCACGGTACTGGTCTCCACAGTGGCCACGCCGTGTCACTCTCCCCACAGCACAGCAGGCCTCGCCCTCCAGCGCCTCTGTATTTTATTTTTTGTATTTTGAGACGGAGTCTCACGGGGTCCCCACGTTGCTCTGGCTGGGGTTAAACTTGAGACCCTCCTGCCTCAGCCTCTCCGGCCTGGGAGGACGGTGTGCGCCCCATGCCCAGCTGCAGCGCAGCCTCCTGCCCAGGCTCCTGCCGTGCAGCGCTGGCCCTGGTCTGCACTGTCTTCTTTCTCTCTTCAATAGGGTCTTGCTGTGCAGTTCAGGCTGGCGTGATCACTGTTCACTTGTGCTTTTGTCTGTTTGGTTTGGTGTCGGGAATTGAACTCACGACCTCAGCCTTATCAGGCAAGCCCTTGAACCACTGAGCTAAACCCCTGGCCCCTTGATGGTTTTTAAAATTATCTTTTCCCTTCAGGTATACAGCATCCGGTTTCCCATGTCTCTGGTGACAGCTGCTGTTTCTCTAAAAGCACCTTTTGCCTGGTAAGTGCAAGCGACTCTGAATCCACCTCAGTGTGGTGGACAGAAGGGCCCGGTGCCAGGGCAAGCGGGTGCCACTGTGCCTGGGCAGTGTCATTGCCCCTGGCTCAGAAGAGGGCTGAGGGACGGTAGGAGCTTGGAGCGAACTCCCGATCATGTCTGATGAACTGAATCTGTCTCCCCTCTTCCTGCTCCCACGGCTGGCCCAGGGCATGGAACCCAGGGCCTTTGTGATAGAGTTATTTCCAAAAGATGAAAAATATTAACAAAAGATAAGAAATATAAAATAAAAAGCGGCCTTTATTCTGAGAACACGGAGAGAGATGACCCCGGCACCCCCACCGCTGGCGACTGGCAATCTCTCCAGCGGACACGTGGCGTGGGGGCCTGTAAATAGCCTCGGTTTGGGGTGGAACCTAAGGCGGGCATTAGGGATACACAGGTAGCCCATTGGTCCTAGGTTTGGCGCCATATGTAAATTCCCAGGGGCGGGAAGATGGCGTCACAGGTAACTTCCTAGGGGCAGGGCAAAATGGGGCTTCCTGCTTCCGGTTGTGGCTTTCCTGGCTACAGTGTCCTGTCTGGGCCAAACCTTTCATATCCCGTCTTATGATTATTATTATGAAAAGGGGCAAAGATTTCTCTCTTTAACTACTTCCTGCTGGCAAAGGGCGCTGTACTGGAGCCTAGGGGAGTCGACGGGATGAAGGTTGATGCCCAGGTAGATGCTGGTGCCAGGTGTTTTGGCCAGGACAACTTCACTGGTGAATGCACGTATGTCAGACTGGAAAGACAAAGAGACAAAATGTTATGAGGAGACATGGCACTGTCATATTAAGGACCCAGGTGAGGTAGAAGGAAAGGTGCCTTTGATTTAGACATATCATTCTATCAGGACCATGTTGAGGTAGAAACATTTCCACAGTAAGGCAGAATTCTGAAAATTAAACGTGGGGTTAGGAGGAGTGGAGTTATGAGAGGTGATTACTCCCCCATCTGAAAGCATAAAAGTTAAGACGGTAGGTTGGTGAGGCTTGTCTCTGGTATGCATGATGTTGGAGTCTGTAGGCAATACTGTTAAAGAGTCCTGCTGTAAAAATGATCATTAATAGAATGTAAGAAATTAGGAACCAAAGTGGATAACAAAACACGACTTAGCCTGTTAACTGTGGCTGCGAGGCCTTCGTGAGACAGAGACGGGTAGGCGGCAGAAGATGAGATGACCACTCAGAATGATCAGATTTAGGTCTGGGAGGGCACCTCTTAGCCTGAGCAATGTGAAGGATGGAAGTCCAGCAACTTTGATTTAGGCATGGGTCGCTGGAACCTGGTTGTAGTCCTTGGAATGATTTGCTGTAACAGAACTTTAGTAAGTATGAGAAAGGCTTTTATGTATCCTGAAAAAGTATAAACCAAGTGAGAAGACAAAAATGTATCTGTCAGTCTTGACCAGGATACCTGAGAAATTGGTGAATAAGAAAGGAAGAGGGGTGGTCTATATCACTGAGGAAGGGTCCATCAGTGACAACAGGTGGAAGCTGTTGAGGCGTCAGTGTGTCTAAGTCAGCCTGTATAAAAGGCATTTTAAGATTTAGGACTGGGACCTGCACAAAATAGGCCCTGTTTGTAATGTAAATGGCATAGGTTGACCATCAATACCCTGTCATAGAGATTGATGACTTAATATAGCAGCCTGAATACTCAGGAAGAACTCTGTATATATGGCCTCTATGTCCACAAATATAGAGAATGTCTTACCTGAGAGTTTTGTGCGACTTGGACTCTGAGACGGACACCTTAAAGGGGGCTGTTGTTGCCCTGAACTTCCTCAGTCTTCAGCAGCGATTTTCTGTCGGTGACGAATTTGGCAGTGTCGACATTTCCTGTGAGGGCTAGGATGACTTACCCACTCTCTGGTGGCTAGGACAGTCCAGTAGCCCTGGAGTAAGGTCTCAAAGAATGCCAGGATGGGGCATTTTGTTGTCCAATGTCTTCTGCTGCATTTGAGCGTGGTCCATGGGGAGGCCAGGCAGCTCCACCTTGTGTAGGTTTACCTGTCTCAGAACTCCAAGTGTCACAAGTGTTAAAAATATGAAAAACCATATTAAGATCTCTCTAAGGTTTGAAGGTCAAGTTTTGCCTTTTTGTTTGGGATTTGGACTATAGTAGAATTAAGTAAGTATGCAGGAATTTAATGTTGGCATTTTGGATTAGAGAGCAGGCTTTATCTGGATGGCATACCGCTTTTTTTATAGGGTGACACGTAGAATTAACAAAAAAGCTTTAGTCTGCCAAACAAGGCTTTAATGGAAATATTTTGCAGTAAAGGTTTAGCAATCTTATGAATAAATCAATCAAAACTGATCTAATACTGTCAAATTCTGAACACATTCACTTTTAAAGTTGTTATTTGCAGTAGTATGAACCCAGACTAAAATAAAGTTTTGAAGAAAACCCTTGTCTTGAAATAGAGCTAGTGGTTCCCAGCAAAAAGGAATTTATAACCTTAGTTGTTAAACAGGAGATTGGTGAAGGCTTTGATTGATAAACAAGGCTGGTAAAATTATCAGGCGGCCAGTAACCTTGATTAAATGGTTTGAGAATTGTAATAAAAAAGCATCTTTTGAGGGGAGCCAAATTGTAAAAAAGCATGCCTGAGCAGAGCCGCTGAGCTGCTGTTTTGCGGCGCTCCGGCAGAGCACGCCCAGTGGGTGGGGCAAGCGCTGGGATGTAACGCGCAGGGGCGGGCTCGGACTGCCCCCGGAAACGTGTAAGGTGGCAGCAGCGGCAACAACGGCGCATGGGGGAGGGGCTGGGAGGCGGCCCGACACAGCGCGCGAAGCTGGAACTGCTTGCAGGGCACGAAGATTAGAAAGCCAATTTAGGAACACAGCTGGGTTTTGATTAGCCTCCTGGACCTGTTTTAAAAGTTTGTTATAGTTAGTATGCTTGTCCTGCTCTGGCACAGCTATAGGCCCAGAGTCATTATAAACGTCCTTAAAATGTAAATCATAACAATTAGTAATAAATTTAAATTGCCTGATATAATTCTGTGGGTCAACAGAGAGGCTACCTAATTTAAGGGTAATCTGAGATAGATCAGAAAGGGAAAAAGGCACATGGATGTTAACAAGCTCCTTGGGGCCAGCTGGCTCCCGAAGCGGTAGCAGAGCCTGAGGAGATTCCGGAGCAGAGGGCCACTGAGCAGCCATCCTTCCGGTAGGCGCATGTGAGCAATCATCTGTAGAGGGCCTACAGAGCTGCTGCCGGTCACCCTGGGAAACACGAGCAGATGGCGTCTCACTGTGCGCCTTGCAGTGAGAGGATTGCTGTCGGCAGCACAATGAAGCGTCATGTGCACCGCAACAGGGCAGCTGTTGTGGTTCACAAGAGGAGCCACAAGGAGACGCCTGTTGACAGTGAAGGCCCTGGAAACATGGCGGCGCCCTGTCACGTGACCCAAAACATGGCGGCGCCTGGGAACATGGCAGTGCCATGCCACGTGGCAGAGGGTTGCAACATGGCGACTGTTCCCCGCGCAAGCTGAAACAATCACGCGACCTGCTGGAAGGACATAGCGACCGAGACCTAGTATGGTGGGCAGGCGGTGAGAATGCTGTAGGGGATACAGAATTCTTTTTTTTTTTTTTTCTTTTTTTTTTGTCTTTTTCATTTTTTTATCGGTACCGGGGATCGAACTCACGACCGCCTGCTTGCAAGGCAGGTACTTATGCCGCTGAGCTAAATTCCCAGACCCGGGGATACAGAATTCTCAGGAGAGGAAGTCGGAGACTGCGAGGAAGCGCTAACAGAGGGATTAAAGCTGCTGGGAGAGTTATGGGTCCCGGAAGGCAGAGAGGGAGACGATTGCACGGCGGGAGGTATCTGCAACGGAGAGGGATTAGAGTTGCTGGGAGAATCAGGCATAGAGGGAGGGGAGAGTGGCCCGGCGGGAGGTAACGGCAGGGAACGAGTTTGGTGGTAGGCAGACGGCGGCCGGGAAAACACTGGAGGAACGTCCTCAAGCGAATCCTGAGGGCAGGGTGGAAAAGTTTGCGGCGCGGTAGAGTTAGCTAAAAGTATCTCAGCGGGAGCACAAGACTTAATGAGAGATGGGCGTGTTCTCAGAATAAGAAAGGCTTGGACATAAGGGAGTTCCAATAACTTGTTGCCAGCTTGACAAAAATCATACAAGTTCCTGAGAATGCAGGGGTCAAATGTTCCTTGCTGAGGCCAAGGCTTGCCGATAAGCGGGTAGGTTGGCCAGACCTCCTGGCAGTAAAAAGTTAGTTGTTTAGTTTTTATGGTACCTTTAATTTTTAGAGTACATAAATTGGAAATTAGGCATCGTAAAGGCGTCTTTTGGGAGTTAGAAAATACGTTCCCCATGACTGATTCAGGCAAGAAAAAAAACCGGAGGTCCAGAAAAAGTCGTCACTTATTTGTGGTACCACGCGGCGGCTACGGTTCCAAACCGTAAACTCCAGTCGTCACTGAGAGATTTACGAATGGAGTCTACGTGGGGTCAGTAACACTTTTGCCCGTGAAAGCGCAAGGCTTTAAGGGAAGTGAGGGTCTTTCAGTGTGGGCGGTCCCAAAAATCTCTGCTTTGGGCTATCCGAACCCAAAGAACGTGAGAGATTTTGTGGGCGCAGGTTTGCCCAGAAAGAACCCTGCCCTGGGCGGTCCTAAGGACGTGAAAATGCACAGACCGACGCAGACGGGGAGAACATTCCACTGGGGCTGCCCAGTGCGAAAAGTTCCCCGGGGAGTGCTCACCTGAAATCAGTCTGGCCGATGCGGAGCGCAGGCGGCTGGCGACAGGAACGTCTCGGGAGAGGAAAAAGCTCGGGATTAATCCAGGATGTTATCTGGTTATCGGCGAGGAAACTCTGGGTATGTGGCCCAAGAGTCAGTTGCCTGCCGATCGAGTCACGGCAACAAATGATAGAGTTATTTCCAAAAGATGAAAAATATTAACAAAAGATGAGAAATATAAAATAAAAAGCGGCCTTTATTCTGAGAACACGGAGAGAGATGACCCCGGCACCCCCACCGCTGGCGTCCGGCGATCTCTCCGGCGGACACGTGGCGTGGGGGCCTGTAAATAGCCTCGGTTTGGGGTGGAACCTAAGGCGGGCATTAGGGATGCACAGGTAGCCCATTGGTCCTAGGTTTGGCGCCATATGTAAATTCCCAGGGGCGGGAAGATGGCGTCACAGGTAACTTCCTAGGGGCAGGGCAAGATGGGGCTTCCTGCTTCCGGTTGTGGCTTTCCTGGCTACAGTGTCCTGTCTGGGCCAAACCTTTCACTTTGCACCGAGCTGCGTTCCGGTCATTTTGATTTTTTTATTTTGAGTCAGGGTCTCCATAAGTTGCCCAGGCTGGACTTGAACTTGTGATCCTCCTGCTTCAGCCTCCTGAGGAGCTGGGATTACAGTTGTGTGTCACCACTGCAGGCATGCTTCTGGTTTTTGCCTGTTGTGAACAAATTTCTGCCAAGTACCCAAGAGTCTCATGAAACTCCAGTGCCCGGTGCACCGGACAATCCCATTCCAGTGTGCAGAGCCCCGGGACCGATTCCAGACACTGGAGATCTCACAGTAAACACAACAGACAGCAGCGCCAGCCAGAGTGCTGCACGCCCGTGGTCCCAGTACTCTGGAGCCTGAGGCAGGAGGGTCGCTGTGAGTTCGAGCCCCACCCCAACCTGCTACACCAGTGAGTTTGAGGCCAGCCCGAACGACGCAGCAAAACCTTGTCTCAAAAGAAAAGAAAAAAGAAACAGCAAATCCAGGGCTAGTGCTGCATGGCTGGAGTCTCAGCTACTCAGCAGGCTGAGGCAGGAGGGTTGCCTGAGCCCAGGAGTTGGGGGACGGAGTGTACTATGCCGACTGGGGGCTCCACGGTAAATTTAGCATCCGTGTGGTGATGTCCTGAGAGCGAAGGGCCATCAGGCTGCCTGAGGGGAGGCAAAGCTTCTCTGGGAGGAAGAAGAGATTAGAACTCCCGAGCCCCCGCGGGGTGTAGCACAGTGGAGCACCACGCACTGACCACATGCAAGGCCCAAGGTTCAATTGCTAAGCACCAAATTAAAAAAAAAAAAAAAAGGAAAAAGCCTTCCTGCAGGATGCGTCCCAGGTCACGCTGCGCACAGATCCTGGCGTGATTGACAGCTCACGGCCAGGGAGCCCCGCTGGCTCGGTGCTCCGGGATTAGCAGATTCCGCCCTGTGTGCAGCCAGCAGGCCATCCCCTAATCACGCATGCGCATAGCCCGGTGCTCCAGGCCGGGGAAAACCGAGAATGTGGGCAGGGGACTTAGCTCAGGGGCACAGCACCAGCCTGGCGAGCAGAAGGTCCTGAGTTCCATTCCCAGTGCAAGAAAAAACAAAAGGCTGAGACCCTGTGTCTGTGAAAAGAAAATAATTTTTTTAAAAAAGAAAAGGAAACAAATTCCTTGTGATCATTCATGTACAGGTTTGCCTGTGGACATACATTTTTACTGCTCTGGGATAAATGCCCAGGATCTGTCTGTGAGATTTGTCTCTGTCTCTGTCCCTCTTGGTTTCTATTCTGTTTGTTTGTTTGTTGACACAAGGTCTTGCATTGTAGCCCAAGCTGGCCTTGAACTGTGTCACCCAGGCTGGTGTCAAACTTGAGGCAATACTCCTGCCTCAGCCTCTCAAGTCCCGGGAGTTTTCTGTCTTTTTGAGACGGGGTCTCACTATGCAGTAGGCTGAGCTTGAGTTTACTTTGTAGCCCAGCTTGGTTTTGAACTCGCAATGATCCTCCTGCCTCAGCCTCCCGAGTGCTGGGATTATCAAATACGGGGACTGTAGGTGTTTACATAAATGCTTCACTGCACGCAGCTCATTCCTTGTCTTTTAAAGAGATCCTCTTCTGTGTGTTGTCTTCCCAGGAGATAAGTAACTCAATTTTTGCATATTTACATGGAGAGCAGATATCTCAGGCCAATATATATTTCTCAGATAACGGAGGAGCCAGTTTTCAAAAGTATACCTATGAAAGACAGGTATGTTCAATAGGGGAAGAAAATAAGCAAAAATAAAACTATGTAGCCACATGGAGGCCGAGGCAGGGGGATCACTTGGTGAGAGGCCCTCATCCTGCCTGAGGCTGGTCCCCTCCTTGAGATGAAGAAGGGTCTGGGCAATGGGGAGAGGGGACAGGAAGGTTGCGTGGCCCCCCTGACCAGAGTAGGCTGTGATACGGAGGAGCCCAGGAGCGCAGAGGGGGAGGAGGTTGCCATGGTGACCTGTCTCACCACCTCCAGGATGCTTTGTGTGGTCCAGGAAGATGGGAAATCTATGCAAGCAGAAAGCTCTGGACAGGCGTCTGGTAATCTAGGCTGTTTTTCCAGGACTGGAAAACAGAGCTTTCTGTGTGCTCGGGCCCGGGCACTGAACCCAGGGACCCACAGCCTGTTTCATTGGGATTTTTTGAGACAGCATCTTGCTTAGTTGCCCAGGGAGATTTGAACTTGTTGTGATCCTCCTGCCTCAGCCTCCCAAGTGCACAGCTATGTTTACACAGGTTTTGTATTTTCAAAGACAGAAATAGATTTTTTTAAAAAGGCTTTCCTTTTTAGTTCATTAGATAATCTAGACTTAAATTTAGAATGAAATGCATAATTTATTATAATAATAAATGTATTATTATATTTTTGTTTAGTTTTTTTGTACTAGAACTCACAACCTCGTGCTTGCCAGGCAGGTGCTGTGCCACTGAGCTATATCCCAAACCCTGTTTATTCAGTTTTTTTTATACCATGATCACATTCATCAGAAGTTTATTTAGTCTGAAGTCTTTTGCAGATCTGGGGATGGAATCTAGGGTCCCACAAATGCTAGGCAAGGGGCCACCGCTGAACTCTGCTCATAGCCCTGTGGTGCTGTGTGTTCACTTCGCAGGCTGAATTGGTCGGGACGTTAGGGGGGATCTTCTCCCTTCACTCGCTGTCCCAGGTCGGGCTGCTGGTCATTAATGACACGAAGGTAAGTCGCTGCACTAGGACGGAATACTTCATGATACTTGGCCACTGTGAGGATTCTGTTAAAACTTGCCTTAGGCTTTTCACCCATCTAGCCATTTATTTATGCATCTACCTAAGCATTCATCCCTCTGTTCAACCCACCAATCCACCCACCCATACATCCACCCATCCATCCACCCACCCATCCATCCACCCACCCACCCATCCATCAATGCATCCACCCATCTATCCACCCACCCATCTATCCATCCATCCATCCATCCACCCATCCATCCATCCATCCACCCACCCATCCATCAATGCATCCACCCATCTATCCATCCATCCATCCACCCACCCATCCATCCATCCATGCATCCACCCATCCATCCACCCATCCATTCATCCACCCATCCACGCACCCATCCATTCATCCATCCACCCACCCATCCATCCATCCACCCATCCATCCATCCATCCATCCACCCATCCATCCATCCATCCATCCACCCATCCATCCACCCATCCATTCATCCACCCATCCACCCACCCATCCATTCATCCACCCATCCACCCATCCATCCATCCATCCATCCACCCACCCATCCACCCATCCATTCATCCACCCATCCACCCACCCATCCATTCATCCACCCATCCACCCACCCATCCATTCATCCATCCACACACCCATCCATCCATCCACCCATCCATCCATCCATCCATCCACCCATCCATCCATCCATCAATGCATCCACCCATCTATCCATCCATCCATCCATCCACCCATCCACCCATCTATCCATCCATCCATCCATCCATCCATCCATCCATCCATTCATCCACCCATCCACCCACCCACCCATCCATCCACCCATCCATCCATCCATCCATCCATCCATCCATCTACCCATCCATCCATCCATCCATCCACCCATCCATCCATCCATCCACCCATCTACTCATCCATCCATCCATCCATCCATCTACCCATGAATCCATCTACCCATCCATCCATCCATCCATCCATCCACCCACCCATCCATCCATCCACCCATCCATCCATCCATCCACCCACCCATCCATCCATCTATCCATCCATCCATCCATCCATCCATCCATCTACCCATGAATCCATCTACCCATCCACCCATCCATCCATCCATCCACCCATCCATCCATCTATCCATCCATCCATCCATCTACCCATCTACTCATCCATCCATCCATCCATCCATCTACCCATGAATCCATCTACCCATCCACCCATCCACCCATCTATCCATCCATCCATCCATCCATCCATTCATCCACCCATCCACCCACCCATCCATCCATCCATCCATCCATCCATCCATCTACCCATGAATCCATCTACCCATCCACCCATCCACCCATCTATCCATCCATCCATCCATCCATCCATCCATCCATTCTTCCACCCATCCATCTATCCATCCATCCATCCATCCATCCACCCACCCATTTATCCACCCATCCATCGACCCATCCATCCATCCATCCACCCATCCACCCATCCACCCATCCACCCATCCATCTATCCACCCCGCCTCCATTCATTGTCCTTTGTTATGAATGGAGCATCTTCACACAGTACCTGCTAGTTGCTAAGCACTAAGATGAAGATCAGGGATAAAAACAAATCTGAACACGTGTCATAGGTGGTACACAAGATTATTTGAAATCCCTGGTATCCTTTCAGGTATGGTGTAACTGTATAATAGAAGCTGAGCGTGGTGGCTCATGCCTGTAATCCCAGCCCTCAGGAGGCTGAGGCAGGAGGATCGTTGTGAGTTCGAGACCAGCCTGGGCTACAAAGTGGCTCAAAGACAGCTTGATCTGCATAGCAAGACCCTGCCTCAAAAAGAGAAAAAAAAAATAAAGAACAGAGAGGGAGGGAAGGACATACTGACTACTGCAGACTGAGTACTTTATAAAGCAAGCAGGAGGGCTGGGGATTTAGCTCAGTGGCATACGCGCCTGCCTTGAAAGCAGGCAGTCATGAGTTCGATCCCCGGTACCCATAAAAAAAGGGAAAACGACCAAAAAATAAATAAATGAAGCAAGCAGGTTTACTTCAGTGTCTGGTTTTTGAGGCTGAGAAGTCCCAGCGCTGGTGGCCATGCCCAGTCTAGGACCCCTGATGTCCTCACACCACGGCAGGTGGCATCTCATGCAACAGGCACAGCACATGGGCCTTGCCTGATCACAGCCTGCTTTCTTGGTCACCCGTCCATCCCCGAGAGGCCCCACGCAGTCATACAGATGGCCATCAGTCCCTTCTTAGGGTGACCAAATCACATGCCCCCCTTCTTCGTGGCTGCGCCCCTGTAAACGCCATTCCCCAGGGCCCCAGGCTCCACCCTGTGAGCTCGGAGGGCGACACAGGCTGCAGAGGGGGCACTGAGGTGGGGGAGCTCTGTGGTAGCATTGTGGGCACTGCAGGGCGTGCGCAGCTTCCCTGGCCCCCACCTGCTGCGGGCCACCGGCTCCCCTGGGCACAGCCCCGGGTTCCCCAGGGTAAGGTCACCCCGAGTTGCCAGCAGCTGGGCTTGAGGAGGAGGCGTAAGGCCGCGGCCCTCCACCCTCCGCTGCCACTCTGGGGACGCGGTGCCTTTTCCTCCACGGCAGGCCATGTTCGCGTACTCCGACCACCCCCTCGACCGGAGTCTGGGCCTGGCCTTTGACTACAACGAGACGCTGGAGGTCCTCCTGCCCCCGGGCCAGCGGGGCCTGCTCATCCTCTGGAGCCGGAACAGCCTCTTCTCGTCCCTCAGCGCAGGTGCACGGCCCCTCCTGTGGCCCGGGACACACTGAGCCCCAAGACCGGTCCTCTCCGTGTCCCGCCTTGCAGGATCTGTTGTTTGTTTGTTTGTTTTTATGGTAGTGGTGATACAGGGGATAGGGCCCGGGCCTTCCTCACCCTCTTCTTTGGGAGGCAGAGTCTTACCAAGTCACTGAACTCAAACTTGCAACCGTCCTGCTTCAGCCTCTTTTGAGCCGCTGGGATGACCCGCATGTAGCACCTCTCCTGGCTGTGCTCCGGCCCTCACGACGCTCTCCCATTGCCTCCTAGGTCAGATCATGGAAACCATCCAGGTGCAGAAAGGAGGCCAGACGCTGCTCCCGTCTATCTTTGGTGCCAACATCACCATCCACAGCATTGCTGCCTGTGTGTGCCCCCCCACTGGTCGCCCCACCTAGAAACAGTTACCTGGCTTCTGGGCTGTTGACCAGCCGGATCCAGCCAAAAACCAAACCAGACCCCAGGGTCCCAGAAAGTACCACAGACTGGGGGGCTCAGGGCAACAGAAATTGAACTCAAGAATGGTAATGCACGCCTGTAATCTTAGCGCTGTGGGAGGCTGAGGCAGGAGGATCATTGCGAATTCCAGACCAGCCTGGGCTACAAAGTGAGTTCAAGGCCAGCCTGAGCTGCACACTGAGGCCCTGTCTCAAAAAGACCAAGAAAAAAATCTTTTTTTTTTTTTTTGTCTTTTTCCTTTTTATTGGTACCAGGGATCGAACTCACGACTGCCTGCTTGCAAGGCAGGCGTTTATGCCGCTGAGCTAAACCCCCAGCCCCCCCCCCAAAAAAAATCTTTGAGAAGACTGTAAAGGGCCTCACCCTGAAAAAACCTTATTTCCCATTTCCCACTCACTGCATTCTACCCTGCCCCTCTGTGGCTACTTGTCAGCTAATTTGTAGTTAGAGAAATTAATTGTATAAAAATTTATCATTACACTAGTGACACATGTCCTTTTAAAACATTGTCACTCACTCATCCCTCTGAACCTAGGACTGTGCTACCACTGAGCTAAACCTGCAGCCTTTAAAAATATAGTTTTTGGAGACAGAATCTCACTAAGGTGGGACTTGAACCTGTTATCCTCCTGCCTCAGCCTCCCTAAGTGCTGGGACAGCAGGCATGCACCACCATGCCTGGGCTAAAGTTTTTTAACATCGAAAGTGTAGTCTCTGGCTAGATCCCCAAATTGAGAGTCCTCACCAGCTTCATAGAGGGAGTGTCAACATTTGTAATGGAATGAATTTTGTAGCTTTCCAGCCTAATTTAATCTTTAAAGATTCAAATGTATCATTCTTTTTCCATCCTCCCTCTCATCTTGAGACCCCAGTTTGCTATATGACTCTGTGTTATCACCAGGCGTGGTGGCTCATGCCTGAAATCCCAGCACTCAGGAGGCCGAGGCAGGAGGATCGTTGTGAGTTCGAGACCAGCCTGGGCTACACAGTGAGCTCAAGGCAAGCCTGAGCTGCGTAGTGAGACAATCATCTTTTCCTATCATTTGGGCAGTACCGGAATTTGAACCTCAGGCTTGGTACATGCTAGGCAAGCACTTTATCACGGAGTTATAGCCCTTTTTTATTTTGAGACAAGATCTTGCTGTTTGCCATCATGAAAGAGAAACAAAGAATCCTGAGGATCTTTTCTATCTCCTAATTTTTTAACATATGAATTTGTGTTAATACATGTATCTTACATATTATTAAAAAAAAGACCTTGCTGTTTCCCAGATGGGTTTTGGAATGTGACTCTCTGATTTTGTGACATTCTCAGGGATCATCATTTTTGCTGCATATTGAAGGATTTTATCCTTTCAAAGGCAGATTAGTAGTCTCTTGTCTGGGTGAACCATATTTTCCTCATCCATTTGTCAACAGATTTGCAATCATTTGCAATCTCTGGCTTCATAAATGCCACAGTGAATGCAAGAGTCTGAATTTATAAATAAAAACCTTATGAGAGCTGGTCATGGAGGCGCATGCGTCATAGCTGGCGGGGCTGAAGTAGACAGGCCACAAACTGAGGCTAGCATGTGCTACTTAGCAAGACCCTGCCTTAACACTTGAAAAGTACAAAGATCTAGGGATGTAGCTCAGTGGGCGGGCACTTGCCTATCACATGTGAGGCCCTGAGTTCCATCCCCAGCGTGGCAAGAAAAAAAATCCATGAAAAAACATCTTGCACCCATTAGATGGCTATGATCCAAAACGAAAATCCTAACTGATTCCCAGCATGTGGAGAAGTTGGAATTCTGTGTTTTGTTTGCGGGAAAATAAAATAGTTCATTCACTATGGAAAACAAGCGGACATTTCCTCAAAAGATGAAACATGAAACTCATGCAATCCATTAACCCCAGTCCCGAGTACTTATCGAAAAGCATGGCCATGGCGCTATTGTATCTTGTGGCGGAGACACCAAGCAGCTACCGCAAGTATCCTCCAGCTCTGTACAGGGTGCATTTATAGCCTCAACCAGGAAGTGACACGGGAAAAGCTGATTGGTTATACACACCTGGGTATTGCCTAATTTGGACAGTTTTATTAGCTGGCTGCTTCTGATTGGTTGAAGCTCAACAGCCTGTGATTGGTTGAAGCTCCATAGCTCATGATTGGCTGAGGCTTGGCTCTCTCTTACAAAAATACAGACTCGTATGTTAGGTTGTGGTTTGATTGTAATGTGCTAAGTTACGTTGCAATTCATATTGCAGAAACTCAAAATATACAGAGACCCCCTTCTGCTCCTTCAACCTAATGTTACTCAGTGTGCAACCTTTAGAAAGATTCCTTTTGGTTCGTGAAAATGACTGTCGTTTCCGGTTTTGTTTGTCTTCCCTAGATGAGAATGGCCTAGCTGTGCTGACCCAGCAGGATCATCTGTATTACGGGAGTCTGGGAGTCCTGTCTGGTTCCAGTTACATAATCAAAGTAGGTAGCTGTCAAAGTGTGTTTATTGCCCAATCGGTAAGAAAAAAATAGTACATTTTACCTGAAAACTGGACATCGCTCTAATTATTAAAATAATGTCAAACACAGGGGCAGCTAAAACTTTTCAAGCCCTTGAAAAACAGCAAGTATGGGTGTGTATGTGCCTGTGTGCACGGGCCGGTATCAGTGCCTCCTACACACAGGCCAGCCTCCCCTCTGAGCCGCCTCCAGCCCGAAGTCACTCCATGTCATTGAACAAAGTTTGCTGATTATTTTTCAAAGCTGTGTAGTTTTCTCTAATGTGTGTCTCTTTTTTTTTATAGGGGAGGGAGGGTCTCCCTATGTGGTTTGGCGTGGCCTTGAACTCTAAACAATCCTCCTGCCTCAGCCTCCCAAGTGAGGGGTTATAGATTTATACCACTTGAGATCTCTTATGTATGTTTTAATTCTTTTTTCTTTTTGAGAAAGGCTCTCACTATATTGTTCAGGCTGGCCTTGAACTAACTATGTAGCCCAGGTTGGCCTCCAATTTGTGGGGATCCTTCTGCCTCAGCCTCTTGAGTGCTGGGATTACAGGTGTGCACCACCACACTCAGCCTCTGATATATGTTTTTAAGACAAACTTGTAGGGCTGGAGATTTAGCTCGGTGGGGTAAGCACCTGCCTGGCAAGGGTGAGGTCATGAGTTCAATCCCTGCTATGACCAAAAAAAGGAAAAAAAAAAATTCTTGCTTATTGATTGACATCTTGAGTGCTGAAGATTGAACCAGGACCTCATCCTTACTAAGCAAATGTTGTGCCACATTAGAAGCATTCCCCATGCCAGGCATGGTGGCATATACCTGTCACCCCAGCACCCTAGAAGGCTGCGGCAGGATGATCACAAATTCAAGCCCAACCTGGGCAATTTAGTGACTTAACAAGACCCTGTCTCAAAATCAGAAAGGAAAAATTAAAATAAATATAAAAGGACTCATGATGTAGCTCAGTGCCCACGCTCTGGGCTCAATGTCCAGTATCACAAAAAGAAAAGAAGCTATTCCTCCTCTATCCAGCTGAACCCCAGACCTTTAACACATAACCTCTCCATCTGCCATCTCCTGCGCTCTTCCCAGTCTTGGGTCACTGCCCTTCTGTTTACTTTTTGAGGGTTAATTTTAGCTTCCACATGTCACTGAGAGCACGCTTTATTAGTCTTTTTGTGCCTGAGGAATTTCACTTAACATGATGTCCTCAGTTATTATCTTAAGTAAAAAGTTTATACTGTGCCCATTTTACAGATGGAAAAACTGAGGCACAGAGAAGCTGAGTCACTTGTTCAGGTCACAGAGATCATAGGTGGTGTTGCTTCAGTTATCACTCAGTGTGCTTAATTTTATTTCCATCTTCACTGAGCCCTGGGAATTGAAGTCACCCATACTGGGGACTGAATTCAGGGACTTCACACTGAGTTATATGCCAGCCCTTTATTTTTTATTTTGACATAGAGTCTTGCTAAGATGCTAAATTGCCCTGGCCAGGCTAGAGCCTGTGTCTTTCTGCCTCAGCCTCTCGAAATACCGAAATGACAGATGTGTGCCACCATGCCTGACTAACATCCTCTGTTTTCAAGAGATAAAATCAAAGCTCGCATTTCTCTTTCTGCCAAGGTCATGAAAGTCATTCGTGACTGAGCAGCATGAGTCCCCCATGTCTGCTGCCCCCGAGTTACATGTGTTTCCTGCTCCCTTGGGAACGACCTTCCCCGAAGTTCCCGACAGTGGAACAGAATAAGCTAACCGAGGCACAAACACGAGTACCGTCTCTTTTTGGTTGGCTGCTTTTTTGAGCCAGGGTCTCACTATGCAATCTAGGCTGGCCTCAAACTCACAGCGATCCTCCTGCCTCAGCCTCCCCAGGGCTGGGATGGTAGGCGTGTGCTGCCATGCCTGGCATGACACGCGGTGACTACTGTTTTCTGGGGAGAGACTTCTTAACCTTCTGTGACTCTCCCCAGAGTTGCACACTTTCAACAAATAAATAAATAAACACGGGCCAGGGCTGCGGCTCAGTTGCAAGTGCTTGCCCAGCATGCGAGATTCCCGGGTTCCATCCCCAGCCCCCTAAATTAATTCATACATTAACTAGGTCCACCTCGAATCATCTTCCTGGTGACGAAACCATGAGTGTCCTTTATTCATTTAATTCCCAAGAGATACAAGAAACCAAAGAGCCACAAACTCCCAAACTGGACACACCCCTTGGCTCCTGGGCTTTGTCTCTGTTGTTGTTAGAGATGGTCCTCTGTCTTAATTCTGGACACACAGGTGGAAATTTGAATCTTCGAAGGCCATCGGGAGCGACTGCGTCTCACAAGTACTCTTTCTCTTCCTCGAAGTTTCCAGAACAAAACGTGTGGTCCCCAGAGGCGGCCCTGATGTTTCTGAACCCAGGCAAGCTTCAGATCCTGACTCCGATCCCCGACTCGGCGTCGCCTGCCTACGACTTCCAGCAGTGCGTGGTGAACATTCAGGCGACTCTCATGAAACCAGAGCTCCACGTGGAAGCATGCAAAGTATGTCATCAGAATGTGTGTGTGTCACAGCTAATGTCTTTTTCTTTTTTTGGAGACGGGGTCTCTCTGAGTAGTCCAGGCTGCCCTTGAACTCAAGGAGATCCTCCTGCCTCAGCCTCCTGATGCTGGGATGACAGGTGTGCACCACCACATCTGGCTTCACACAGAGAAATCTATTAAACTTACAGAAGTGACAGATGTAAGACCAGTGGGTCCTGTGACTTGGATCAAGACAAGGCACCTTAAGTAGTTGTCAGGGCAAAAGTGACTTGGTGTAAGCCAGAATGCACCCAGTTGATCACAAGCGAGTATCAGAGACATCAGGCACCTTCCAAGAACCTTTTCTGGGAAGGGATGGCTAGGAGGTCCTGGTCACCTACCTGGATGCTGAAGCCTCTTTAGGGTACTGATTATCCTTGTTCATCTCTCTGGGAGGTACACAGGGTACTCCCTGGATCTCTACATTGAGGCCTGGCCTCAACGAATGTGCCTCCAGCTACAGTGAAATGAATTGTTATCTTTTGTTCTGACTCCCTCGAGGGCCTAGGCTGACTGCCTGTAATATTTCTACCTAACTTGGCCGTCTATAATAAAGATGGAGAGAGACCAGATCAGTGTGGGGAACGGGTGCATACCTGCATTATCAGCACTTGGGAGGCTGGAGCAGGAGAACTGCACGCTGGAGCCCAGCCTGGGCAACTTGGTGACTTAGCAAGACCTTGTCTCAAAATGAAAAAGTTAACAAGGCTGGGGATGTAGCTCAGTGGTAGAGCACTCCTGGCATCTCTCCCCATTACTTCCCCCCCAAAAAAAAGATGGAAAAAAAGAAAAAAAAATACAAGGATGTGGTGACTGTAAAGGTCAGGGTGGGGTGGCCCTGGAGGGGCCTCGGGGTGCTCAGAGCCCAGCCGGGTGACAGCGCATGAGCGGAAGTCCCGGAAGCTGCACCCGGAGCCGGAAGTCTCTCTTGCCGGATTCGCAGGTCACTTCCTGGGCCCCTTCTGCTGACTGGCCATCTGCAGCGGTCCCTTTTGAGAGATGCCTGTTCCGTTCTTCCGCCTTCCTCCCTGTCCCCTCCCTTCGGGAGCAGGCGGGGACTTCCTTTCTCATCCATTTGTGTGGTCTTCGTAACTAGATAGAACTGATGGACGGCATCTTCGAAGGGAAGATGTACACCATGGATATGAACAGCCAGCTGGTGGTGTCGGCCCTCCTGATCCCCCGGCCGGGCGCCTCCCTAGTTCCCCAGGCACGTGAGTCTCGGACCCCACTGCAGCAGGAGCAGAAGCCCTGGGGTTTTTATTGGATTTGACAGGGGGTGGAGTTTAGAGGGGCGGGCTGAATGACGTATCAACAGCCGATTGGAGAGATGCTGGCGCATGCGCAAAAGCAAGAATTGCAACTGTGGCTTAGAAGAACACGGAAGTCAGAATTGGAAGGAGGCGCTCTGGTTTTAGGGTCCAGCACACGCTGGGCATGACAGAGTTTCGTATGGGTGGATCGTATCAATCCATGGTGTTGTGCATGCTAGGCAAGTACTCTACTAAACATAGCCCTGCCATTTTTGGATTTTGAGACAGTGCCTTACAAAATTGGCCTTAAACTTGCAATCCTCCTGCCTCAACCTCCTAAGTAGCTGGGATTACAGGGCTCCAGAGTGGCAATTTGCTTTTTTTTTTTTTTTATTCCTTTTTTTTTATTTTTTTGAGTCAGGACAGAACTAGAATGGTGGCACATGCCTATAATCTCAGCACTTGGGAGGTTGAGTTTGAGGCCCAAGGATCACTGAAAGTTTGAGGCTAGCCAGGGCCACATAGTGAGCTCAGGGCCACTTTGAGCTACCTAGTGACACTGTGTCTCAAAAAGAAAAAAAAAATCTCGGCACTCTGTAGGCTGAGGCAGGAGAGTTGCTGTGAGTTTGAGACAAACTCAGGCTACAAGAGGAGTTCAAGGCTAGCCTGAAGTGCATAATGAAACCCTGACTCAGAAAGACCAAATAAATAAATGCCAAGAAAGGGGAGGAAGAAAGGGGCAGGGCCTTGCTCTGCTGCTATGCTGGTTACTTTTCTCTCATTGCTGAGACAAAATATCAGACCCTCAAAGTGAAGGAGGAACAGTTTATTTAGCTTACAGTTTGTGGAGGTTTCAGTCCATAGTCAGCTGGTTCCAAGGCAGCGTGGCAGGGCACAGGGGCCACACTTCAAGACAGCAGCCAGAGCAAAAAGGAGGGAGAACAAACCTCTTTTCCTCCCGTATATTGTGCACAGGCCACCATTCCCCCACCCTACCCCCGGCAGATGTAGCACTCACAAAATGTCTGTGTCCTCTTCTTGTACAGGCCAGGATGTTTACAAAGTAAGGGCCCCTGGCTCCCTGTCTGGTCTCTTAAACTTCTAAACTTCTCAAATTGACACAATGTATCAACTATAACAGTTGTCCAGGTGTCCTCGGAATCTTGAGATCAAGTAATCCTCCTGCCTCAGCCTCTGAGTAGCTGGAATAACAGGTGTGTGCTATACTGCACCTGCTTCAAAAAATCTTTTTCATTTTTGTGGTGCTGGATGTGAGCTGAGGACCTTGTGTGTTCTAGGCTTGCGCCCTTCCACTGAGGCACATAGATAGCCCCAAAGGACTGTTTTGTTTTGTTTTGTCTTTTGGTTAGTTTCATTTGAGACAGGGTCTCGCTGCCTAGCTTCAACTGGCCTTGAACTCACTTTGTGGCCCAGACTGGTCTTGAACTTGCAATGATCCTCCTGGCTCAGCCTCTGAGTGCTGGGATGACAGGCGTGCGCCACTACAGCTGGCCCAAATGCATCCCTTTTCGAAGTTCCCTACCAGATGCTAGGCTGAAATAAGCATGGCCCACTGCAAGGAATCCTGAGATGCTGCATCCTTATGGCGGGGACAGGTCGGGCTGCGTCTGCGTATCTCCTGCAGGACTGGCCCGGGCCATCTGCGGGGCAGGGCTCTGCAGCCACCTCTGGGGCACGTGTGGGGAGGACGAGCTCCGTGTTCCGTCTGCAGGGACTCAGGGGCCCCCTGAATGTCTGTCCTGTGACAGTGTCTCGTCCCCCACACCCCCAGGTGATGGTCAGCAACCCCTACTCCCTGGGGCTGAAGACCACCATCTACGAGTACGCCAACACCTACGATGGGAGCGTCCTGTACAAACTGGTGAGTCCTGACTGGTGAGTCCCTCAGGGGCAGCAGCTCCAGCGGGGACCCAGGTCCTCCCTCTCCTGCCCACAAGAGGGCAGCAGAGTGCAGAGGAATTGGAGGAGACCCTGCCGGCT